TTATTTTTCTCAAAATGTATTTGCAAATTTAAATTTGATGTGAAAAATTACTCGTTCGGATATAAAATTTCAGAGCAAAATGAGACTCCACTTGGGTGTTCTGAACCCTTTTTAATTCAAGATTAATTTTCTCGCTGAATATTAAAATATATTTAATATGGATGTGGGAAGCTCTGATATTTGCACGTTGTATTTGAATAAGAAGATGTAATGAGGTGTCGAAGCCGCAGGGCGACGAAAAGTAATAAATTATTTTGGGAATATCTCGCATTAATTTTACTCTGAAATGAAATATATGAGATCAACTTTAGTTCGTTTTTAGAAAGAATTTTTGCATTTGCTTTAGGTATTACTGTGTCAAAACTTATAATAACTTTACATTTCTGCACTTGAGTAGAAACCTTCTATCTAAATTTCCGCAAAGCCACTTTGGCTTTAAGGATTAAAAAATTAAAGAGTTATATTTGCTACTTTCTTTTTACTTATTACCCTTCACAGTAATAATAAAAATAATTATAAAGTAATAAAAAGAAAATTAAAACTAATTTTAGAAGTTTGGTCCCTGTGGTAGTGTACCTACCTACCTTTAACGCTGGCAGCAGTTGAGCGAGGAATTCACCAGCTCTGGGGTCACCGTTACTATCTACCAGGCGCCAATTTAACTCTTTAATTAGCGCCTGTGCACTTGAACCCCACGGCTCAAGAGACCCTACCTTGTTACCCTTTAGGTTTAGAGGCTTGTGAACTTACACGAGTGTGACACAATTTTTGGTATAATGCTTTACTAGACACGAAAGCATACGATTGTTTTAAGCAATTTTTTAATATCGTAACAGAGAAATACATAATAGGAATTTCTGATTTTCAAAAAAAGCATCGTCCTAACTCCTTTAAAAACTGAGTATTTTTTGATACATTATATATTGTGCTATAGTCTAATGAAAAATCTTTCTAATGAAATGCTGACACGTGTAGACTAACTATTAATTCATTGAATAATAATTAAAAGAAACCACTTTACCGAATGAAATCCATTTAAAATATAGTTTGTTTATTTAACAAAAATATGATAATTAATAAATACTTTACAGCTTAAATAATCTAGAAACATTGAATTGGCAGAGTACAGCAGCCAGACTGATTATATAAAAAATCCTTTCTAGGCTACAAAATACAGCATTGTGTAAAATTTTAAAAATAAATAATTTAACAAATAATACAAACAAAAATTCTAAAACTTGCCCTCCATCCGTTCCAACATGTTTGAATAATTCCCGTAAATATTAAAGTAACCCAACTCATTTGTTAAAGCTTTGATTGCGAATCTATCCCAACCGCGAAGTACTCATATTCTTGAAAGCAATCGCTTTTCAAAGCCTTAATTACGCTTCAAATCTCATAATCAATCTAAAAGCCAGCTGTTGGAGCGATCGATCGGAGCAATCATCAATGGGTTAGCGCCCTGCACCCGCGTGCATACAATATAAATGAGCCAATTTTGCATAGTGATACATCAGGTAATCTATTGCCTATTGATTGACTATTCCATCCGGGACGAATTATGAAAATGCTAATTGGAAATGTACGCCCACAATTATTAGTTCCAATCGAATTCACTTTTGTCATTGCATTTATTGCAATAGGAAAAACTTGCATTTATATAATATTATATTATGGTACATAGACGTTTCATAGTAAAGTAAATACACAAAAAAAGGGAAAATTAACTGGAAGAAAAAGTTACTCAATACTTAAATTCATTGAGTATTTATCTATACTAATATTATAAAGAGGAACGATTTGTATGTAAGTATGTTTGTAACGAATTGACTCAAAAAGTCTGGACCGATTTTAAAAATTTCTTTCACCATTTGAATTCTACATTATCACTGATTAATACTATTTTAATTGCAAGAAAAAATAAGTATCCCTACTAACACTACAATAATGTTAGCCAAGGTGTAAAAAAATGCCTATAAAATATCTTTCATCGTATGCGCTGCGAAAACTATTGATATGATAGAACAAAAAAAAGTTCCACAATATTAAAGAACATATCAATATCTAAATAAAATCAAGGATATACATACCTAGCATAGTTTAAAAAAATATAAAATATTATTATTATGGAACATAAGATGCAGGTAATTATTCCACGTCATTAAATTTGAATCGGTAGACATCTCTACTCATCGGCAAAGAAGACAGAGGGTGTAGGCCCGAGAGAAAAAGACGGCGTAAAAAACTCTCGGTACTCTTGTGAAATAGCAAATCATCATACAAAATGACTATTGCAAACAACACTTATTTTAAAACAAAAATCGCAAATTTATTAGAATGCTTCCATATTATTAATTCTTTAATACAATTATGTAGCATTTTATAAACGTATTAAAGGGGTTTTAGTTACAAATCTGCATTGCGGATGTTAATAGTGTTAACCATAAAAAATAAATGTTTTACAAATGTACTTTGTCGGGTGCAGAACATTGGAAATAGCATTTCCGCAAACAACATGTCACCGAAGCCTACGTGTCATAATAATTCCCTTTGCCAATTTATTTGTATATTTCATGAATTGGTCTGGAAAATCAGAGAGACAACTTGATTTAAATAAATGATATTTAATTTTAAATTACGGTTAAAGTTTTTAAATTTAATTTTATATTTTTGTCAAACCTGATCAATCTAGTAGAGATTTTTTCAACGTTACTTTTTGGTTCGATTTTTATTACTCAAACAGACAATTCCGTGAAACCGGCATATCTGAATCAAACGGCAGACATACTTGTCTATGAAATAAAAAATATTAGAAACGAATCACTCTGAGGTCATAAAAATAGGTTTGTCGCGCCTCTGGTATATTATTAACTAACGTACATACTAAAAGTAAATTTCTCTGTGTAAGAATCTGATATTACGTAAAATCCATCGAAGTTTTAATACGTGTAGATAATTAAATTGAATGTAATTGGATGACGCGGAATTGGAACATAAAACCAATCGGATTACATGAGGTCGACGTTAATTTTTCGATTCCAGCTAAACCGAAACGTTTGTAACTTTGACGGTCCTTGATATGTTTAGGTGATTGCCTTTTAATTATATCTTTTATGTTTGCCGTAAATTTTTTTTTTAGTATAAAGTTCTCAAAAATGAGTGTGACTTAACATGAATTACAATCTAGCCATATATCTCTCTATACAATAATTATGGCTAATAAGTAATATTATGTTGACTTAATTTTCTACAATACAAATGAATAGCTTAGACTAATCTAAAAATAAAAAAAAATAAAAATTAAAAATATGTTTATTATGGAACATAAGATACATGTATCACTTATTCCACGTCATTAAATTTGAAGGCATCCCTACTCATCGGCAAAGAAGACAGAGGGTGTAGGCCGAGAGAAAAAGCCGGCGTAAAAAACTCTCGGTACTCTTTTAAAACAGCAAATCATCAAACAACACTTATTTAAAACAAATATCGCAAATTAATTAGAAGTAGCCTGTCTAGCACTAATCCCACTAATGTTCAGACACTTGTTGTTTAAACAATATCTATACAAATATAATTGTATTTTATATAATGTGTGATTTAGTATAATAAGTATGTGTATTGTGTAACCCTAATGTTTAATTATGAATTATTTGTATTCAACTCAACGAAACAATCTGTATATGAACATTTACAGTCTTGTGTTCGATTTCCAGCAAAATAATTCTTATGACAAGGCATTCGTAAAATAGCTTTTCTTAAATTAAATTCAAGTAGTCGTTCCACAGAGAACAAAAAAAAAACTAAAACAGAGCCCAGTCAAAATATTACTTATTGAAATCCATACCGCAAAAAATAATTTAATTACTAATTTTGCATTTATAGTGTCCTAGCTGGCATTCAACTATGAGTCACTCATTTTTAATCAACAATAATGCCGTTTAAAAACTAAACTTCCTTACATATTTAAGGCATATATTGGAGCTATATTATGAAATAACAACAACGAATCGGGGCCCGTGTGAAATTGTTTAAAGAATAAACACTAGCGAGACGTGTCAGACGTGATAAATCCCTCAAAGCGACAGCCCGCGGGAACCGAGCTTTGAACCTGCTATAAACAATGACCATTTAAATTAAATACTGTATAGCTAACTTGAAATGTGGTGGTGTGACAACAGTGGGACAAGAAAGATAAAATATGTGTCAACTTCATTCATCATTTACTTTTTCATATTTCATCTACTTTCTAAATTTTTCAGTTTAAGTAGTATTATTATTATTTTCTTATGTAGCCAAGTTCACATTTCAAGGATCGTTATGCTCGCTTTAATGTCATTGCTTGTGGCGGCGTCCATGCGTCGGGTTGTCTCTCTCCCTAAAATATGGCGAGGGGGCCGATGGCTGGTGAACGGGTGCTGCTTGTGGTGACTGGTCGTACTTGAATTCGTGTGTGTAAAAAAAAATGGCGATTAAAAATAGTGGCGGAGGGTTTTTTGCCAGTTCTTCTCTTCCGTTCTACGCCCTTGATTTGAGAACTGGCAGTAAATGTAAAATTAGAAGCATTAATATGTATTTCTTTACTGACGAGTCATAAGTGTACATTATGTTACCTACATGATAAAATAATTTTTTACTTTTACTTCTTTAATGGCTTGTGTGTTTGTCCTGGTGTTGCCATGTTGGCGTAGACTGAAATCTGTACACACACAAGTAGAGAGTGTTTGGTCATTGAAATGTTCAAACCAAGCTAGATCTTTATTGAACCAAAAATAAAATAAAACGAAAGATAAGCAAGACAAAAGGTTTGAAGACGTCGGCAGCTATGTTCCAGGTTTACAAGCATTTTATTCTGAAGTTAGGCTTTAGTATTTGCCTCGCTAAAATACTAAAGCCTATTATATTTCCAAAAATGTTTACTATTAATTAAATTATAACACAAATTCTTGAATCTAGCGTAGGAAACCCATGGTATAAAATAGGCCTCTTCCAACCCCTTCTTAAGTTCCCTTTCGTAGGCTTGCCGGGTCCATATGCCGCAGTCCAGCCGCACCTGGTTGCCGGATCAACGTCGACGCTTGCACTCTCGTCCCGTCGCGCATATGCCAATATAGGACTTGTTCACTACACCGATTGTCTTTAACTCTGACGATGTGTCCGGTCCACCTCCATTTTAGCCAACATGCTTTATTAGTGTTTTTCTTATTTGTGTTTTTACTTCTTTCTTTACAATATCAAGAATATGTCTCTCTATAACACTTGGGAAATGATATATTTTGTTAACTCTCTCTGGTGTACGTCCAAGTTTGGCATACAGCAGAGTTGGTATCACAATACAACGCAAATCTTTTTGTTTAAGATGTATTGGCTAGATTTGAATCATCTTTTAGAGACCGGTGTTTGCGCCAAGCCTTGATTCGTCTATCCACTTCGCACGATGTTTGTTCGGAAAATGAAATACTTTGTCCTAGATAGTTCTAAATTTCGATTTACTCTTTGGTCTGCGATTCTGTGATGATGGGTTAGAAAAAAAGAAAAGAGCGTGTCTATTCTTAAAAGGCTTACAACGCATTCGCGAGCCCTCTGTCATTGAGAGTGTCCATGGGCGGCGGTATCACTTAACGTCAGTTGAGCCTCCTGCCCGTTTGCCCGCTGAGATTAAATAAATAAATATAATACAGTCGTAAGCTATTATTGGAAAATTAACGTGTATGGTTCATATTAAATTAACGATTAGCAACGAAATTAATTTTCTTTCTAATGTTCTTTTAATACTTGTACTTCATAAGTCCATTAATAAAATAGGGCGAAAGTAAAATCTTACCTTTGAAGCATTTTATACACAATTTTCCCTTGTTTCGTTCTATTTTCTCGTAATCCGGCAAATCAAATAAATTTACGCAAATCGAAATACGAACTTTACTCGTTTGTTCTAGAGCTGTTTCTTGATTTATATTGCGGCCCGGGGTTGTTCTCATTTAGCCTATTAAAAAGTTTACATTCAATATTTGCTGAATTATTTATTACATAAGAAGGTTAAGTACGACAGTTTTTACTATTATTTTATGAAAATTTGTTACTTTGTTTTAAGTAAAAAAAAAATCTGATTTCTCTCATATTCTTTTGAGAGATTTTTTGAAAGAAAGAAAATAATACAACATACAATAAAAAATTAAGAACACAATTACTTTAACCAAAAATGAAATTTATGTTACTGTGACTAATGACCCTCAATCTTTACAAAACATCTTATAAATGACAAATTAAAAATGACCTATTTTTGATGTACGTAAATGTATTAACCTAGAATATATTTGCAATTCAGTACCGGTGAAGGTTGAGATGTACGGCACTCGACACGGTCTGCACATGAGAGGACCAGGTGAGCAATATTAAAACTAATCTCTGGGTAGCACCGACAGGCTATTTTGTATGTTTAAATTTCCCTTTTTGGTTATAACCGGCTCGGTGTTGGTTCTACCGAGTACAGCTCAAACATGTTTTAAAAGTCAAATATTACAAATTTGAAAATAATATATATGCTAATCCAAGGTATAAAATTCCGAAGAGGGAGTATAATCTTACTTAGCTTAAATTTACAGCCGTTTATATTTCCCTCTCAATGCTGTTGTTCCCTCGTAACCAAAATATAATTAATGAACCCTTCCGCAAGTAATTAACGTTTGCCGAGCGTCAAATCCACCCCTATACATCATATTTTTTGTTCGACCGCAATATTCATGACGAATGATTATGCATTTGTAATATAGCTTACATTAAACATTCCATGTATTAGTTACTCTAACTAAACTGTTTTATTTATTAGTATTGTCTTTTATTGACATAACTTTTAGACATAGAAAAACACTTTTAACGGATTTGAAGTTATGTTTTATAATCAATTTACAATTATTTTACATAATTTTAAAAAAAAAGCGGGGGGGGGGGGGTTTTGGGGGGGGGGGGGGGGGGGGGGGGAAAAAAAAAGGGGGGGGAAAAAAAAAAAAAAAAAAAAAAAAAAAAAAAAAAAAAAAAAGGGGGGGTGTGTTTTTTTTTTTTTTTTTTTTTTTTTTTTTTTTTTTTTTTTTTTTTTTTTAACTCATAAATCCGTTAAAAGTTTTTTTTTTTTTTTTTTTTTATCTGAAAATTGTTTTTGTGACTAATCTTAGTTGAGGTACTGGAGGTTGTGCCTACATGATTAATATAAATGCATCAATGTTTTAATATAGATGAGTATTGTACCAACACTCATATTAAATAGTCGTGTCCTGAAGAGCATCGTTTCATTACAATACTCTGTACCTATAAGGTACAAGGTATCATAGTGTAGAACTAGGTGAAGACACATAGAACGGATGTGTTAAACACAACCATAGTATCCCCATGATTGAGCAGTGTTAGCCTAGTGGCTTCAGCGTGCGACTCTCATACCTGAGGTCGTAGGTTCGATCCCCGGCTGTGCACCAATGGACTTTTTTTCTATGTGCGCATTTAACATTAGCTCGACCGGTGAAGGAAAACATCGTGAGGTAACCGACATGTCTTAGACCCAAAAAAGTCGAAGGCGTGTGTTAGGCACTGGAGCCTATTAGATTTAAAAATGATCATGAAACAGATTCAGAAGATCGGAGGCCAAGACTTAAAGAGGATGTGGCGCTACTAATTTTTTTTTATAGTATCCCCATGGGGATATCATGCTCGAAACCGCCTTAGATGTTCATTTGAAACTGACTTGAACAAACATCAACTCCCTAACTAAGCAATTCTATAATTTTTGGCATCATCCTGGATTTAAAGCCAAGGCTTTTGATCACTAAAGTCGATGAAGCAGTTAATTGCCTGCTAAATTGACCTAAATAGGTAGTTATATAAGCGATTAGTCTTAATTTATATAATTAAACTACTTAGCACCGTAGAGATGACAATAAAATTCAACTTAAAACGTAGATATTTATGTCAAAAATAAATTTGTATAATAAAGATTAGATATCAAAGTCTTGAAAGCCGAGTGGATGTTGAGTTTTACGAGTAAACCGCGCGGGCGGCTGGGCGGGCGGCGCGATCGATGGGCGCCGGTTGACAGACGGAGTGGCTTCCTCACTGCGAGTGCCTGGCATTATTGAGAACCGTCTGAAATATCGTTTATTTAGTTAAGGTTTCACATAGATAACATTGTATAAAACTGATTGATACATATTAGCATTTTTATTGTAGTCTAGGTGGCATATTAAAGTAAAATAATAGGTTTTATTTACGCAATTGCCTGTTTTAAATAATTATGAATCTGCAAAGCGCTGCTGTACAGCAAATTATCGTAAAATTAAAAAAAAACGCATATTGAAAATTATGTCCAACAATATTATTTCAATTATATTTAATATTGTGATTTAAAAATACGACAATAAAAAAAATCATCTTGCGTTAAATGATACTAAACGCGAGTCCGTAGTCGACCCTTTAAGAATTGGTACACATCTACTCTATATTTTATATCTAATAAAAATATATACGGAGCGCAGCTGCTATACCACCGAGTCTTTCAGTGCAACTTTATAGCGTTAACAAGAACATATTTCTATATTTGAAACCTTGTTTGTGGTTAGTAAAGATGTTTAAGTTTATGGGTGGCTTATTAAGTCCCAAACCCAAGAATGCTTTGATCAATGTGATTACGGTCAAAGTAATTTATAAGTAATCTAAGTTCAATGAATACCTGCCATGAACGAGTGTTTTGATACCCTGTAACAAAAGTTTTTAATGGGACGTGAAACTGACGCATATCGTTGTCTGTTGATATTGCTTTGCTAGCAATCGAACACCTGACCGATCATACCATATGCCACCACTGAACTACGGTGACGGGTGTAGGTTAATATTTAAAAAGATAGTTAAAACAAGGTTCACGTTATATTAAAACAATAGTTGAGACCTTTTATCTGTTTATAAACGTAACCCAGAGAACCATGGAAATAATAATTGTCAAAATAAGTAACAAGAATTTAAGAGATAAAACAGGGTTTGCTGACGTTACATATAAAACAAAACAACTAAAATGGAAATGGGCTGGACATACCATAAGAGGAGTAGATAAATAGAGCAAAACTTTAACACTATGACAAGCAAGAGGCCATAAAAGAAACAGAGGTAGGCAATTTAAAAGGTGGGCCGATGAAATCATGGAAATGGCTGGAAAGACTGAGACCTGGCCGAGATTGGTATACAATAAGGAAAAATGGAGGACAATGGGGGAGGCATTTTTCCTCCTGTAGACACACAGAATCGGTTATGGTAGATTAAGAAAAAATATGTACATATTTTGTATTACTGATATCTTAATATATATAAATTACGTGTCACGATGTTTGTCCGCTATGGACTCCTAAACTACTAAACCGATTTCAATCAAATTTGCACACCGTGTGCGGTTTGATCTAACTTAAAAGATAGAATAGCTTACATCTCAATTTATACCCGCAATATTATTTTATTGCAAAACATTTGTTTATTATTTGATAGTCACAATTCTAACAGATGGCGCTGTGTTGAAAGTACCAACGTTTCACATAAGCTACAATTTAATGGCAAAACCACCATAAAAGCATGGTGGTCCCCATGACTGGTGTTCTCCAACCGTTTCCCTTGAATAGTTTGCTACTATGTAATATAACATAAACCTTAGCCACTGCAACGCTTGGCCGGTCTGCTAGTAAGTCTATAAATAAATAAATCTGTTTATAAAAATATAACAAGTATTATTATAAGAAAATATTATAACAGTATGTCTCAAGGTGATTTTATAAAACTTCCAGCGACGAAGAAAATATAAATGTCGACCTCGTCCCTTCTTAAGGGACACATTAGGTATCTACTTGACATCTCTGGCATAAAGTAAATCATTCTAAGCTAAAAAAAAATCTTCTTAGTATTCTATTTTGTATTCAGAGCATTCACTTATTCACTATAAGTATTCTATAAAATTCATTAAATACCACAGTGCATAGATTTCAGACACAAATGAGCGAACATATGAAAAAAAGCTATGGCACGTACATTATAAGTTTCAATAAATTTTTGAATGTTAGCACTAACAATCAATAGTACGCAAACAAAACAATAACCTCTTAATAAGACTCAGCACAGATGTCATATTTACAAGATAAAATTGCCAACATAAGAAGGAAAAAGATACCTCATAAACAAAACTATTTTTAAGAAATAATAAAAACATGTAGTAAATACTTATATATATACGTAGTTATGAGTTGGTAATTCATGGGCTGATATATAAAAGACATCATCAACGGTTTTGTGAACATAATAAGTTTCTGAAAAAATAAATTCCTACATTTTTTTATGGGACAAGATCACTTTGAATAAAGTGATAACTGCCGCCCATGGACACCTGCATGGAGTCAAGCAGATGTGTTGCCGACCATTCAGGGAATGGCACGTTCTTTGCTTAATGTTTTTTTAGTAGAACAGGGGGCAAACGGGCATGAGGCTCACCTGATGTTAAGTGATACCGCCGCCCATGGACACTCTCAATGCCAGAGGGCTCGCGAGTGCGTTGCCGGAATTTTTAGAATTGGAACGCTCTTGTCTTGAAGGACCCTAACGCTGGCCATAGACAGACCGCATGTTGCAGTCGATACCGACTGCTCGAAGCGGTCGCCGCACGGCGAACTGCAGTTTCCATACTAAATTCATATCCGCCATACACGGACCGCACGACCAGTTTCTGAGCGGTCGGAGCAGTCGCTCTGCGGTCGAGTTTCGCCGTGCGGTCGACTGCTTAGAGCTGCCGGACCCACCATACACGGACAGCTACAAGCGGTTGCTGCCGACCGTGCGCCACTCCCTCAAATAAAATAAAATACTAACTAATTCATCAAATGAAACCACGGACATTCTAAAGTATTCGAAAAACTTTTTAGTGTCTTCTCTCATTTGGGGATACAAAGTATGAAATATTCCATGC